GTGTGTGTGTGTGTGTGTGTGTGTGTGTTCACAGGTTTTAGATCAGATTTTACTAAAGTAACTGGGGCTGTGTTTTAGTGGAAATCTATATGATATTATATTGAATATATTGCAATATATTGACATACTATAGTCCCCGTATAGACCCCCCCCAGTGTGATCCTAGTCTCAGACTCTGTTCCATCTGAACATCAGTTCCTAACTCTACATTTGGAATCACTAGAGAAGAAAGAAAAGAACAAGAACATGAACCAACACCAGGAATATTGGACTAAAATCAATAACTGATCAATAACTGACCGTGTGTGTGTGTGTGTGTGTGTGTGTGTTCACAGGTTTTAGATCAGATTTTACTAAAGTAACTGGGGCTGTGTTTTAGTGGAAATCTATATGATATTATATTGAATATATTGCAATATATTGACATACTATAGTCCCCGTATAGACCCCCCCCAGACATCAGTTCCTAACTCTGGAACAGAGGGATCTACATTTGGAATCACTAGAGAAGAAAGAAAAGAACAAGAACATGAACCAACACCAGGAATATTGGACTGAGAATTGGAGAGAAAAAAATCAATAACTGATCAATAACTGATCAATGACTGAGGAGATATTGATACAGTATTGTTTTTTGTATCGGTCATTTCTCCTCGTTGATTTCCTCAGTAGGAATATTTGTGACAGAACAAACAGAATCTACTTCCTGTTTACACACCAACATGTGTCCATGAGGTCATGTGACCTAGCGTTAGCATGGACAGCGTCCCTGTGACAGTACTGCATGGACGCCGACCACAGACATGGACTAATATTTCGTTTCTGTTCCGGACTCTTCCAGACACCGACAGAAATCTTCTGCAGACGTGGATTGGACCAATGAAAGGGACTGGATGCTGCAGCAGAACAGTTTTTGTCTCCATTGTCCTGGTGCTTTGTCTCAGGTTTCATCAGTGACAGTTCTTGGAACCATTCGTATGTTAATCCGTCAACACCGTGGACTGACGTGAAACCGACCGCCTCCTTCAGGTGGAGCTGATGTTTTTCTCAGTTTCTGTTTGTTGAATAGGAGTTTCCTCCGTGATTCACACGGCACTGGAGAGCTAACGGCTAACAGCTAATGGCTAACACCACTTTTCAGACACGTGTTTATTTTGTTTCTGACGGGTTCATTTGTTTTGTTACATTTTTTATGTTAATGAAGTGGAATTGTTTTGTTATTTGAAATGTGAGTGATTAGTCGAATTTCAGATTTTAGGTTTGTATTTATAGAAAGTGTAGCAACATATACACAAACATATATATATATAAAAATATATACATATATTTATATATATTTAATTATGTTAGGGATGATGTAACACTTTATTACTGCCAGTAGAGAGAAAAAAAACCCTCTAATGTTGAGACCTAAATACAAAGGAAGTGGTGACGACTCATTAATGAACTAAATTCATCAGACTACGACACAGGGACATCTGATTACTGCAATTAAAGATCATTAAAAGTTGTCCTGATGCAGCGACGGTTTCAGTCCAAAGCTGCAGGTTCTCAGTGTCATCAACAGATTCAACCAAACATCCATCCCCCAGGACGTGGACTCCAGGACGTGGACTCCAGGTTCCGTCCTGATACAGATTATTTAACTCTCGACAGGAAGTTGTTCTCCGAGGGCAGGGACCTATTAATACTCCACACTCTATCATTAAATGAAGGTGAAGACGTTCCCCGCTCCTCCACCTGTCACGTAGTCAAACCACAGAGCGTTTTCATTTTCATTCCTTCATGTTTCGTTCTGTCGGCGTTCACACCCCCGCGGAGCGCCGTCGTCGTCGTGGTGTTGCTAACAAACACCGGCCTGGTTACTGGTTACTAAACTGACGAAAACAAAACAACAAAACCATCCTGCTGCAGGAACGACCCAGGTGTCTGTCACGATTGCACAATATATTTATATATATATATATTTATATATATATATAAATATATATATATATATATATATATATACAAAATGATGGTAAACGATGTTTTATGTTTATGTTGAAAATGTACCGCGTTCTCACAAGAACTGTTTGTTCTCGACAACAGATGCTCAGATTTTTTTTTTCAGAATTGTTTTTCCTATTCCCAGTTTTGCAGCCGTCCGTTTCGCTCATGTCCGATAACAGTAGGGGGAGCTCACACTCACCAGCTGAAGCTAACGTGTCGTTAGCATGAAGTACTCCACCGTGAGTACAGAAAACATCGAGGTCGACTGTGGAGGAGACACTAAAAAAAACTGAGCAGTTACGCTGAGCGGGCCACAACAGGGTCCCGCCCCCAACTTTGAGAACCCGTGGCACAGAGGACTAGTATAAATCTCACACGGTTTAAAAATATTACCCAAACCGCCCGAGGCTGAAGGGTGTTCATCAATGACATCTTAATCCTGCGTTGGCGTTGAACCGACAGCTCTTTTATTGTCGTCCAACACACACACACACACACACACACACACACACACACACACAGGAACGTTCATCCACCCGTCAGGTTTCTACACCGACCTGCCGTGGCAGAACCCAACGTCCTCCTCACCAGACCAACACAGACCTGGTCCCGGGTCTGGACCAGGATCCTGGTCCAGCAGGAGACCCTCAGTCTGTAAAACAAACCCCAGAGTTCTGACCCGACGCCAGACACATTCCCTGCTGGTGTGTATTTTCAGATCATGTTTACACTGAGGCCAAACACACACTGTCAACTAAAAAAAAAAAAAAATTCCACTGAGTATTTTCTCAAAAACAAAGTGTCTGAAAATAAACACCATCTACAGCAGGACTGGAGTCTGGACTGGAGACCTGGGCCCACGGAGGAGCCCACTCTGACTGGACTCTTCTGTGGGCTGCAGACAAAATATCAATACATTCAAATATTTTTATGTATCGATCCCGTATCAATGTCCTCAGTCATTGATCAGTTCTTGATTTTTTTTTCTCTACAGGCTAAACTTCACACTCACACCGCAGCACCATTTTCCCTCAGCGACACAATTAGTGTGATAACACCCGTGTTAATAAGAGCTGAACTATTTCCGGGGATGTGGCATTCATACTGCTGCATAATTAAGAGGTGAGACAACCTGCCAGTGTGTGTGTGTGTGTACATATATACGTATATACATAGACGTGCGTATTTGTGCAAATATAGTATGTATGTAAAATTTATGTATATATATATGTATATATATACATAGATACATATACATATATACATATACACATATATATACAAATACTGTATATACAATATATACATATATACATATACACATACATACATATATACATATGTAGACAGAACTGTAAAAAAATCACTTGATTATTTGATATATACATAAATACATACATATATGTATGTGTATATATGTAAATATGTATATATATATACATATATGTATATATGCACATATATACACATATATGCATATATACATATATGTGTGTATAATATACATGTATATATATATACATGTACATATATACGTATATATGTATATATACATATTTACATATATATACACATAGCATATATGTATGTATATATGTATATATCATATCTATGTATGTATATATATGTATATATCATGTTGCTAGATTCTCCCCAATACTGACCCCTACTGTTCCCTATCGGTTTGACTACGTGCTCAAACTCAGGTTCTCCTCTGGCAGTTGCTGCAGTTGCTGCCGTTGCTGCAGCGAAAGCGAACATAACAACGCAGTTAATAAATGATAATTAATAATTCCGCTCCACAACCTGCTCATTACATCACATTAAACTTTCCATCCGCCGCCGCTGAGTGACAGCCTCCTGCACAGACGTATGATTTACCAGACCACTCCTGGTGGTTATTGGAGAAGACGCACGTGTTATGTCACAACACGATCAGGTGATTACTAATGACTTTTTCTTTTTTTTAAAAAATAACAATTTGGAAAGGCAACAACACGGGGGCTCAGTGGTGTCATTTTTTCCACAACCCCGAACAGTGAAGAGGAGGATGAAGATGAAGATGACGTGTTTCTATGACTGAACTGTAAACAGTGGAATCATGGGAGATAATCTGTGGACCTGTGACCTGGGACGTTTACAGAATTCAACCACAGCCTCAGAAGAGGCTGGACTCAAACCTGAAACCCTCTGGACCCAAGTCCACTTCCTTAACCACTGATCCACCAACGCTGCCAGTTTGCAGTAGTTAAATTAAACGGTCCACGCCTTCATTCCACAGTCAGTGTCTCACTCAGTTGTTTTGACTTTGTTTCTCCAGGTTACAGCCACATCAAACCCACGACTCACTGCTATCCTCAAACCATATATCGCAATATTTGTGACCCCTGCTGGTCATCAACAACATTTCACGAGTGTTACCTTGAAGTCGAAGCTGCAGAGGCTGACGGTGTCGCTGTCATCCTTCTCCCTGCGTTTCCGTTTCTGTCCAAAAAAAAAAAAAATAGGTTTTACTGACTGAGGTACGAACATGTAACAAATGGTTTTTTTTTTCCAGTTTTTAGTACTACTGTTGTAGTAGAAGTTTGTAGTATTCAGTGAATGAATACAGGTGTGTAACTGTGCTGCATTCAGACCATTGTTGACATGATGACCTTTGACCTCACGGCCGTAAATGAACATTTTTCTCATTTTGTTCTTTTTTTACCTCCAGTAGAATGTTTGTGTGGTATGACCCGTGAGAGGGGGGGGGGGGGGGGGGGGGGTCGTGGGCTGCACTTTACTGCCCAGAGGGGCAGGGACAGAGGGGCAGGAAGGGTAATTGGTGCAACACTTGGTCGACACAGCACAGTTCACTGGACAATCCTTGGTACCCGAGCCCCATCTTTAACCTCGGGGTCAGGAGTTAGCAACAATTCAAAACCAGCTACGACCACCGGACATTTATATATATTTATATATATTTATATATATATGTGTCTATATACCGGTGTGGTAAAGGTGCAGTGTCACCTCCTCGTCTTGATGCCAAGTCAAGACCCTATAGTTTAAAAAGATTTACTGCCCCTCTTCACGCCCCCAGTCATGCCCCC